ATAAAAATAGTTTCTTAAAGATTTTTTTTTTAATCCCCTCAAATGACAAAACGGGTTAAGCTTAAAAAATATGCGTAAAAATATTAAAAAAAAAAAATCAAAAAAAAAAATTTTAATGGAATCGTAATAATGAGATTTTTGATGCTGTTTTTAACTTTTTTCAAAGGTTGGTATAAGAAAAACTTGAATAACTGAGTCTAAATTCTCCCGATTTAGACTTGTGAGATATCATTGGAAAGGTATTTTTTCACTCTTTTTATTTCTTTGCTTATAAACTCATTCAACGGATGAAAGAGAAAGGTAGGATGAACGAATATCATTCAAAGTTGAATTAAGATGTATTTGAAAAAAAAAAAAAAAATATTGGGGACACGAATGACACGATTGCACATAAATAAAAATAGTGGGAAAATACCTTTCTACCGAGATCCCATAAGTCTAAATCAAAATAGTTTTGGCCCAGTTATTTAGGTTTATCGTAAATCAATCTTTGAAAAAAGTAAAAAAAAAACAACATCAAAAATCTCATTATTACGATTACGTTGAAAAGATTTTTAAATATTTTTATGCAGAATTTTTAAGCCTAATTTGTTTTGTCATCTGAGGGGACTTTTTTCAAAAAGTTCTTTAAGAAACTATTTTTATTCATAAAAACTACATTTTTGGAGGTATTTTCAAATCGGTCCAGCTCGCTTAAATCTTAATATTTTTCCGAAATATTTTAGTGGACGTCTTAAAATATATAAGTTTTGTATTGCCGGCGGAAAAACCGCAACTTTTTTTTGGTGATGCAGTCTAATGTACATATGTATACATCGGAACATCGGTACTACAAAATGTGTGGAAAAGCGCTGGGAAAACTGGCAGCAACAATAACATAGTAAAAGCGACAACCAACAGGCGGAAGTTCATGCATTTTCCGTTGCACATACATATGTACTTATACATAACATACGATATATATGCACTAAGTACTGAAGAAAAGCTAAACATAGAATACTACAAAAGAGTTTGCCAGTCAGATGTTTTACTTGCCAGTTTATAAGTAAATTGAAAGCAGATGGAGCACAGCCACAGTTTGATAAATCACATTTGAGTAGTTGNCATACATATGTACTTATACTTAACATACGATATATGCACTAAGTACTGAAGAAAAGCTAAACATAGAATACAACAAAAGAGTTTGCCAGTCAGACGATTTACTTGCCAGTTTATAAGTAAATTTAAAGCAGATGGAGCACAGCCACAGTTTGATAAATCACATTTGAGTAGTTGATAGTAATTTGGAGTAATACAAACGTCGAGTTGCAGTTTAGGTATATAGAAGCATCGTTGCGGGCAACCAACCACCCGCTCTTTCGTTTACACCGACTCTGCCTCTGCCGCCCTTTCTGAACCCACTTTCAACTGCAAGTCTTTCCGATAGCACACCGTCCACTAGAAACTATGCTGAGAGCTGGCGTATTCGTTGCGTCATAAAGATTCCACCTGCTACCAGATACACAGCAACCCTAACCCATCCCTGGGCAGTAGTTGTAATGAGGAAATTGGATTGCGGATTGCGGATAGCTGCAGCTCATGTCATATGCCGCTTTTGTTGGAAAATTTGCAAGTACCACAAACATGCTGAATTGAAAGTATTTTAGTATTTTTTTTAGGCAAACATTTGTGAAAACTCAAAAACACAAAAACACAAAAAAAATTGAATTCCGTTCCATTCAGCCAAGCAAGAGCAGTCGTCGGTGCGGTGTGTGGTTGAATATGTGAACAGCTGAAAAATGTAGGACACCAGCGCCAATGGTGCACCACCGGTTCGGTTCGTTTGCCTTACTTTTTTTTTGTGTTTTGCGTTTTGTTTTTGTTCTGATGGCAAATGAAATGATACAGGAAGCATTCACCGCACAGCAGGAAATTCTCTTGTTTTATTCTTCTGCTACATATTTAGTCTCGAAGAGTATCATCATCCATTTTGCGGCAAGCTGCCACCATGCTGCGGCACTACTTATTTCATTATTAAAATAATCGCACATAGCGTAGCACATAATCAACGACAAGAGTTGGGTAATAGCGATGCGATGTGAGCGAACCTGTCAGCGGTTTTGCAACGCCACCGTAGCGTACAAAAATTGTGGAAGCAAGGATAGTAATGGAATGTTTTGGAAAGTCGTGCATTTTTAAAGCTTTACTCAAACAACTTTTATGGCAATTAAAGTTAATTAAAGTTGGAATAATACATACAATCTTCAGTAATTTTGAAAATATTTTATCTACTTTGGAATTTGATATCAAAGGAAATAATTGGCCAAAAAGGTTTGTGGATTGTTGACTCAGAAGAGATTTCCAATTGGCCTATATTCGAGTATTCTAAAAATATTTTGCTTCTTCCTCGGATCCAATTGTCCCTCCCGTATAGATACCGGTATATTAAATGATCAATTTATTAGTTCAGTTGATCTCTTGGAAATCAACCTCTTTTCTTTAATAGGGGCACTACTTAAACTGTGAGAAGTGGATATGAATTAAAAAAAAAATATATATATATATAGTAGAATATCCGAATAGGGCCACGACCTTCACCCATCTGTTTAACAGAAGAAATCTATTTTGTATGAAATTTAACGCGTTAGTTAATATTTCGCATGCGGGTTGGCTGAGAAAATCCTGGCCTGGATATTTTTAATTAAATATTCAAAAATTTATGTTTTTTTTTTAATTTCGACTAATTTGTTTAATGAACAAATTTCATATACAGATGAGATCAACTAATTAGCAACGAAATTCAAAATGATATTGTTTGCAAATTATATTTATTTATTTATTTTTAATAAATTTGATTTAAAATATAAATCAATCTATAACAGAAACCACAATAATAAAAGTTTAAAAGCTTGCACAAATTGCAAAAAAGTTAATCAAACTTCAAATAATTGTCATCGTAATTTCAAAATTTTTAATTAGAATATTTAGAAACTTTTCGGGTATGCCGTTTTGTAGCCTATTCATCTTTAGTATAAGAAAGTGCAAGTTTCAAGTCGTTAAAAATTACGGTAGATTTTTTATATTTTTTTTAATGGACAATGGATGGAATGATCAAAATTTTTTTTTTTGCAAATGGACCACGGATAGTATATCAGAGAAAGGAGGCGCAAAGGATCAAACAATTTCTTTTAATGTTTTTGTTATAAAGTAAAGTAAAGGAATAAATATATACATATTTATTTCACTCTTCGGTTAATAATTGTGTTACGAAAATTGTATAAAAATAAAATACATGTAATTAAATTTAAATGCACGTTTTCCACGTTAAGGTTTCATATAAAACTAAGTAATGTTGTAAACTCAGAACTTCATAATATGAATACAAACCGAATTTCAAGTCGATAGCATCAAAAACAACGAAGTTGATGTAAGTCTGCCAGATCGGGTATATGACGGCTATATGTTATAGTTCCTCGAACCGAACAAACTTTGGTATGTCAACTCAGAACTCTATAACACGTAGACTTTATGCCAAAACAATAATTTTTGGCCCATAGTGGAATGTGCGCTTCGTGGCCGATTTTCAGTTCTGTGGGATCCGTTTTCAGTGCTTTTGGAACAGTTCTTTTTGCTGATTTTTTCGTTTGTTACTCTGAGACCGTTTTTCGGCTTTTTTAAAATCAAGTTTCGGTTTGTCTGAAACCCTTTTTCGGTTCTTTTGGGATCGAGTTTCGGTTCTTCCGGAATCATTTTGGGTTCTTTCGTTACTGTTTTTCGGTTCTTCCGGAACCTTTTTTCGGTTCTTTTGGAATCGAGTTTCGGTTTTTCGGTTCTGTTGGGATCGAGTTTCAATTCTTTCAAAACCCTTTTTTGGTTCTTTTGGAATGGAATTTCGGTTCTTTCGGAACCTATTTTCGGTTCTTCCGGAAAAGTTTTTCTGTCCTTTTGGAGTCGAGTTTCGGTTATTCCGCTCCGTTAGAACCGTTTTTCGGTTCTTGTAAGAACCGGACTGGTCGGTTTTCTAAAGGACCCGGTTTCCCGGTTCCGGTTCCTCGGTTCCTTTCATATTAACTTTTCCTTATACAATACATACAATTTTTTCCTAACGATGAAGATATTTTTTGATAGTTTCAGTGTCTTTTATACCGCCACTGCAATATTAAAAGGATTCGAATTTTATTTTAAAGTGGCTTATTATTGAAAATTATATCCTACAATTTGTCACATTTTTCCTCCTCAAAGCAAATATGTTTGGACCGAGTGCACCTCGCTTCAACAATGTAAAGCCCAATGGAAAAAAATAATTTATATTTTTATATAACAACAAAAAGGGACTGCTCTATTACAAAAAGGTAAAACAAAAAGTTGGGCATTGATGCAGCCCTGCTACGACTTGTTTATACATATTTTGTTTTTCTTTTGTTTGCAACGCAATTGAATGGAATGGAAAAATCATTCAAACGTGCTAATGCGGCTATGTAATTTTCCCCATGAAAACCAGCCGGTTTTCGTAAGCGGCTTGCAACATGCGAAATGTAATAGGGAGTGCTCATGTTTGTATGTACGACGGCGACATGTGTGCAAAGGTATAATTATATGAGTGTGTGTGGGTGTGTGTGTGCGAGTATCAACAGAAATAGGCCACGCAGTTGTCAGCACGNATGTATGTATGTATGTACGACGGCGACATGTGTGCAAAGGTATACTTATATGAGTGTGTGTGTGTGTGTGTGCGAGTATCAACAGAAATAGGCCACGCAGTTGTCAGCACGTACTAAGCTATTTCCCCCATATTTACTACATCAACTGCAATGCATTCGACGACGACGACGACGACGACGGCTTCCATGTGCGTTTCTACGAAATGTGCATTCAGCAGCAGACAGCTGTGGGAGCAAGCAGGCGAGGCACCTAGTGAGGGAGGGCAGAGGGTAGGCAGACTGAGCAAGCAAGCAAGCAAGCGAGCTGCAGTGAAGCATTGAAGGGGGAGTTGCAACAGGGGGCGAGGCTGACTCGAGGGGAAGACAAAAATAATAAACAACTTTGTTCGAATAATAAAACAAATACGTACATACATAAAACAAAACAATAGATAATGAAATGGAAACAAAAGTAAAGCAAGAAAAACAAAACGCTATCAAAATGAGACAAGATAAACCAAAACAAAGCAAGAAAATTAAGCCAAAATAAAATAATAATAAGCTCGCTTGCCTACCAGTAGTCTGCCGGCATTTGGCAGCCAGCCGTTGATTAATTTGAAAAATTCTCAAAAAAAAAAGCTACAAAAAAAACGCAAACGGCTGGCAGCCACGCGTTTACAGCAACTTCGCTTGAATCGCACATTGCATGCAAATCCATTTCACTTGGCTTAATTCAGTACTTCACGCTNGCCAGTAGTCTGCCGGCATTTGGCAGCCAGCCGTTCATTAATTTGAAAAATTCCCAAAAAAAAAAAATAAGCAAAAACGCAAACGGCTGGCAGCCACGCGTTTACTACACTGCAGCAACTTCGGCTTCGCTTGAATCCCACATTGCATGCAAATCCATTTCACTTGGCTTAATTCAGTACTTCACGCTTTTCAATTGAATTATCAGCTCATCTGCCCTTTTGCGCGCTCTTCTCCATTTTTAAAAACTCAACTTTTATTTTTTTGCAATATATATTTGTACATACATACATACATCCATATGTACATAATTCCTACTAATTTGTATTTATTTATTTATTTTTCTTATTTTTCTTCCAACAGATTTATCGCGTAATCGCTTTTGNGCCACGCGTTTACTACACTGCAGCAACTTCGGCTTCGCTTGAATCCCACATTGCATGCAAATCCATTTCACTTGGCTTAATTCAGTACTTCACGCTTTTCAATTGAATTATCAGCTCATCTGCCCTTTTGCGCGCTCTTCTCCATTTTTAAAAACTCAACTTTTATTTTTTTGCAATATATATTTGTACATACATACATACATCCATATGTACATAATTCCTACTAATTTGTATTTATTTATTTATTTTTCTTATTTTTCTTCCAACAGATTTATCGCGTAATCGCTTTTGCGAGCTACCCGAGGAGATCACCACATTCTCATTTCTGGAGACGCTACTGCTCTACCACAATACCATACGCAGCATTCCCGAATCGGTGAAGCATCTGACATCGTTGACGTATTTGGATTTGCGCAGCAATCAGTTGGCGTCGCTGCCGCGTGAGATCTGCTTTCTGCCGCTGCAAGTGTTGCTGGTTTCCAACAACCGGCTGGCGGCATTGCCCGACGAGTTGGGGCGCATGGACCGCCTCACCGATTTGGATGCCTCATACAATCAGTTGTCAACGCTGCCGGCGCGTATTGGCGAGCTGCGTTCGTTGCGTTCATTTTCGCTGCGCAGCAATCAGTTGATGTATTTACCGCGTGGTGAGTAATGAATGGGGATTTTGTTTTTTTTTGTGTTTTTTTGTTTTGTGGGTGATTACTCTAATAAACAAGTGTTTTGTATAATTCATAGATGGAAAATTAAAGTTGCAGATGTTAAGGGGCGTTTACAATGTTAGCGTGGAGTTGAGTTCTCTGTTTACACATTAGCTTGGAGTGCGTTGGACTTGAAGCTCAAAAAATACATATTTAGGTAACTAAGAAAGTAAAACTGCACTCTAAGCTGGTACTAAAAGCATACAAATATTAAGAAAATACGCTCCACTCTCAACTCCAAATCGGCATTGTAAACGATCCCTTATGGAACTTTTAGGCGTCTGATACATTTTAAGTAGACTTACAGGCAAATTCTTCGTATGATAGTCTTACAAAAAAGTTCCCTTGCCAACTTTCACGATGAAAAGCTGTTTTGATCGCGCTGCTCCGACAGTCGCAACTTGAGATTAAAATGTTGTTTTCGGAGTATTCTACAGCATCAGCGGAGACGGCGGTTTTATATGTAGAGTCAAATAAGAAATATGCAGAGGCAGTTTTTGAACTCGTTCTTGGTGACTATAAAGTGGGAGGACACCATAGGATAAGCCAGCGATCTGATAGGATTTTGTCTCTAGTAAACCATCTAGAAGAGACATAAGCCTGCAACTTTTTTT